TTTCTCTCCCCCAGAAAAAATCTGTAAACACTCCCCCGATGTATATTATATATATATATATATATATATATATATATATATATATAGTAGCTGATTTATCATTTTAATCTTGCGGAACTGATATACCTGACAAGTCAACATCATCCTTATCATCTAACTATTCAGCATTTAAATTTAAAATCGAAGCATTGTCTGTGTGAGCAATAGTTGTCATAAGCTCTCTTTGTCTTTGAGTTGGTATAGTTGTTATTGAACACAGATGAGTTGGTGTTTTTTTTTTAATTGAACACCATGTACAATGATGTGTTAATAATTCTTGGGAGCAGATTAAGAGAAAAATGACAGGTGAAGAGATGCCAACTTTTGACTTCTCTTGCACTAACAAAGTGTGCTAACATTCTGACCAGCCATCTGCAGTGCACAGACAGACACACAATACATAAATCTTAAATTGTTAAAAGCCTAAACATATATGACTATTTACACTTATTAAATTGTTTAAAATAATGTAAAAACCAGTCAATTTTTAAGATTAAAATTTTAATAAGGGTTAATATAGAAAATATGATTGTTGACGTCAACTAATCTAAACCCCCCCTCCCTGCCCCTTGTCAACAACTGTCAATCATTTCCAAACTCCCTCCCCCTTGTTGATGTAATTAATGGACGCCCCCTTACCTAGCCTACTTCTTAGACTTTTAGTACTTTGGCAAAAATTGTTGAATAAATATTTAATTGGCATTAAATTGGCTTAATTTAAATTTAGTAAATTATAAAATGGAGAACTGATTTGGCCTGCACTTACACTTCTTTAAATTTAAATATTAGTATTATTAGGAGTAGTAATTTAGCAGGCTCAACCATCCTCAACTATGGATATTCAAGACATGTTTTATGCTTGCAAATCAGGAGACCTTCAGCGCTTACAGTAAGCTACTTTTGTTTGGTGTTTTGTGTGTTAGCAAGAATGTTTCATTTTTAACTTAGTCTTAGTCTTAGCTAAATTTCAGCTAAGAACTAATAACTTACTAAACTTACTTTATTTAATTATAAAAGGTTGTTAGTTATTATTTATAATTTAAATAAAATGTGAATAAGGGATCCTTTCATGAGCACAAGGCCTGAAAAACACACCAAGCTTATGTTCTGATCTGATGTGCTAGTGCCAGAGGTCTTTAAGTTAAAGTAAGCCATTTTATTTTTTGAGGAGAAAAATAAAAATAATAAAAAATATTATGGTCCTGCCATGGCATGGATGATGGCATGGATGCTGACAATGGTTGTTCTCCATATTGATGCCAAAATCCCAAATGCCTGATTTGTTTTGTTTATCCATGCATTGATTGCATTTGATTATCTATCACATGCATTGTTTTCCTTGTCGAAGTGGTCACAATCACCAACTGTTTTGACATTGACATCTGTTTTTAAGTTTTTGCATTGAATTTGGAGCAGTTTCAGCTAGTCTCTTTGTGAAGTTTGCCTTTCCCTGGTCATCTTGGAATTGGCAAGACAGCATCACTATCATATTGTTGTATTCCAACACCGAGTGCATTTCTTGACACTTCTCTTGTGTTGCTTGTAGCATGCATCAAATTATCAACATAAGAAAAGAATTGGTGAGAGAATGCACCCATGCACATGCTTCACTTCAGTCTCCACTTTGAAAAGTTCAGTCAGGTGGCAATAGTGGAGAACTCTAAATTAACAGACATCATATTATGATTATATAATATTGACCAGAGGACTGACATAGTTTTGGATAATCTTCCAAAACTTGTTCTTTTGTATGCTGTAAAAATATTTCTTGGCGTCATCAAAGTCAGGATACAGTTGAGGATTCCATATGAGTCTACTCTAGCATTTACCACAGGAGAAAGATGTGATCAGTTCCATCATTTCTAGAGCTTCCTTTTCTAAGCATATTTATGTCTATATTCTCCGCTCTTGGTGTATTTTTTAATACTATAATGCAGCAAGAAAACCATTTTGAGTGATGGACACTTTGAGTTCAGTGGCTTCAGTCGGAAAGAGGTCCTCTTGCAGACACTTTCATGTTAATTTGAATCTATTTTATGTCCAAAAGGTGTGTGTGTGTCGGTCATCATCTTCTTTAAGCATCCTAGCACAGACTCTGCCTTAAAGCTAATTGCCTCCATTTAACTTTTCCTTCTCCTCACTTAAGTTAGTACTCAACTTTCATTGGCTCTTTCCTTTCTGTTGTAAAATAGGGCTTCTCAATTTTCTTTTGTTAAACTGTCGTCTTTGCCTCCACTATTCTTTTGCTGCCCTCTCAGATACTACATTTCAGCTAAGTGCTATTTTTATTTAATTCTGTTTTTACCATTGTTTGAAGGCTGTTGAAGGCTTTCTGTCAACACATTTGTTGTTTTGTTGCGTTCCTTTTTAAGGTTTTCACATTCTTTGTTTGACTCATTTCCTTCTTTCCTCCTCAGCAAGTTTCTCAAAATTTTGTCCTTCTGTGCTAAATTGTTTGCTTTCTTGTCCTTTTTGTTTGAATTGGGATGTCACTCTTTCCAGTACTCTTATTGATTTTCTTCATTAGCTGCCTTATTTCTTCAATTCTTTTTCTTATTTTATCTTATTTCAAAGTCATTATTAAAAACAGATTTTGTAAAAAGATTACTTATAAAAGAATTATCAGGATCTTCTGTCAATGTTTTTTCTAACAATCAGGTATCTTGTTGAAATAAAAGAGGTGGAGATTGATGTGAGAGACAAATGGGATAGTACACCACTGTAAGTATTGAATTGCCTTAACAAATATCGAGTCATAAATATTTATGAATTTAATGGATTGGATGAAAATTACCATGGGTCAAATGTTGCTATTACTTTTTGTTTCCTTTCTAAAGGTAATTAATGGTGGAAAACATTTTAAAAAATGGAATTTTAAATACTTAATAATAATGAAATTTATATTCTTGCTGGTTTATCTCCAGGATATGGTTTACATGTACATTTTTTTTTTTAAATACAGGTACTATGCTTGCTTATGTGGACACAGAGATATAGTTGAATATCTACTTGACAAAGGTAGAACACAATTTTTTCTTATATAGTTGAAATTATAACACTTATATTATATCTGTTTATGTATTTTTTTTTAAAAGGAAGTCAAACTTTTATATATAAATTATACTGTTCTCAAAACTTACAAACAGGTGCAAAATGTGAAGCTAATACATTTGATGGTGAGAGGTGCTTATATGGAGCATTGACAGATGATATACGTAACTTACTGAAGAGTTACCATGTTATCTCATCTCGAACAATCAGAAGAGATTTATATGAAGAATTTTTGCGCAGGTTTGTTCCTTAAGCTTACTTGATTCATTTTTATAAAATATGGATACATTTTTATTTTCATATTTATTTTTCTTGTTAAGTGAAGTCCATTTGTTACTTTTTTAATAATGAAAATGTAAAACTTTTGCTTAAAGATGTATCTAATATGAGTTTAAATAAAGATATGTATCCTAAAAACAAATTATTCAATTTCCCATAGGCTTTTAGAGGACAAGTTGTATAGTGATGTTATATTTAGCGTACATGGAGAGGAATTTCATGCTCACAGATGCATACTCAGTGCTCGCTGTCTGTTTTTTGCCCACATGTTCAAAACTAAATGGCAGAATCGAACGGTGATTGAACTTAATCATTCACAGGTAGGATAACCATTTACTGCAGTGTTGTCATTTTATCCATAAATTTCATTCTAAAAATATCTTTTTAAGTTGCTATTTAAGCTATTCCATGGTTACCAGAGCAATTTAGCAGACATTTTAGTGACCAGTTCATGAGTCATCACTAAAGACAGCCCCTCACCGCTGTTATTTTTGTACTTAAGATTGATAGGCAGTTCTTAAG